AAAGAGGTTTTGTCTGGGATGTGTATCGCTCAGTTGTTGGCTCTACTGTATAGAAAAATTAAGAAATGCTGAAGGGACCATTTTGAGTTTTTGCGTCTGAAAAGCAAGAACTTTGATAGTGAGATCAGCAAGAGGGTCTAAAAACACCGGTGTTATTATCTAGAATGAATGTTTGAATTTGATGGGAATTAAAATGTAAAGCCTTCCTGCCAGTGGCACTGCAGAACATGGAGGATGCTGTTTTCAGTGAGACAGTAGACTTTTTGTATGTTATCTGTTGCTGTAAGCCGATAAGAACCCGAGTTCCACTCGAGTGCTTTACTTCAGGAAATGAGAGGAAAACAATGATGTCAGTGTGAAGGGTGAGCTGGCTGGGTGTCTTGCAGGAGAAGGATGTGTCTTACATCAGAGATCAGCATGCCCACCGGACCGAGTGTCTGAGGGTCAGAGAGCTCACTCTGATAGGTGTTGACCACTGTAGCAGTCAGATACCACCTTTTATTTATGTCCTTTCCATTTTAAGCGGTCATCAGGTTCAAGTTATTGATCTTTCAGCATCAGGAAAAAAACAGAAAACTACACAGAAACTCAACAACTAAATATCAGGTATTTCAGTATTGCTTGTGTGTAAATGCTTTGCCTTTATTACAGAAGACCTCCAATGTTCAGTCTTAGAGGTTGCATTTTCTGCTTCTAGCGATCCAAATAATCCCAAACACATTCAGTGTTGAGGTCTGGACTCTGGGGTGGTCAGTCAGTTGTTCTGAGAACACCAGCAGCTTGTTTGTTTGATTTGCACGTTTTCTTCTTTTTTCTCTATTTCCTTTTCTCAGCAAGAGCTTCTTAACAGCTACACATCCTTTCAGACCCATAGCGCTGAGTCGTCTTCTCACAGCGGAAGGGTGGACAGAAACACCAGAAGCACCTTGATTTTCTCCTCTCTCTCAGAGATGAAAGCTTTAAGTGCTGTTTATTTGATGGGGGACAGTGCTGGTGGTCTGCCAGGTCTTGCGTGGTTGTTAGGAGTCCCATTTTCTTTTATATCTTGTAATCATTTTTCAAGCTTCAGTTTTAGAAGCTCCTGTTTTCTCACTTATTCTCCATTGACCTTCCCCATCTTTTTGTGAGTGGATCAGTTTACATGCAGTCTCATCAAAAATATATCTTTTGAAAAATAAAAAATGAATCATTTGTACCTGGAATGCATTTCTTTCACCTTCACAGTTCTATAAAAGCCCTTCTTGTGTTCAGTCTGGATTTTGGAAAAAGACTGCCTTTCATTTCAGAGTGGGATCAGATTCCCTCATATCCCACACATCCTCCTTTCCAAACATCAAAGGCTGCAAAGTCAAGCAGATCTCAGCTTTTTGGACGACCGACCAGTTTTTTTTTGTTATCTGTTTCGCTCCACCAGGGTTCCTACCACCCTGGCTGCACATGGACAGCAGTTTAGTGTGTTCACTCCTCACATGGGTGTTTCAGGCTAATCAGCTTAACCTTTCTCTGTTGAGGCCAGGACAGTGCATTAACCTGGCGTTTCTGTCCTCGCTTTGCCTGTGTGAGAAGATTGACCAGGATCTTCAAAGCCAAGGCCCAGGTGCCAGGCCCTGTCGGCAGGGAACTCATCATCCTCTGGGCTTTAACTGGGTAACTTGGTGCTATTTGTTCCTAGTCATGGGTGGTCAAGGTCACTGAGGCTGGTTTTAGTGTGGACCACTCATGGATTTGCAGAGAAACGCTTAAACTACAAATGCTAAAGTTGCTAACATTGAATGAAAGCTGGAAGGAATCTAACAGTGTTGTCTAGAGCTGTACAGTATATTGTTGGTTAATTGTTATCATGATATTGGCCTTTGCAAGACTGATATTGCTGAAGCGTGAAAATAAGACTCTTCACGGATGTTTTACTCTGTGCTTTACCAAACCATATGGTCGTATGCAAAAGTTTAGGCACCCCTGGTCAAATTACATATGTGGTTGAATTAACAAAAAACCTGTAATTTGACCAGGCATGTGCAGATGTTTGCTTGCGATTGCAGGCCTTTTTCATACATGGTGTTAATGTGTCTTGAGTGATCTGATCACAAGTGCACAGCGAGACGTATAGCCATTTAGACATTGCGTTTTTCCATAGGTCACCAAGTGTCTCCAGCGGCTGCTTATGATCGGATTTTGTGACTGGAGCAGGGTTTGTGTTGAGGACTCCTGAGATGATCCTGGACCTTCCATAAGTGTAAAGGGACCCCCATAAGAGAGACAACGTTGAAACCAGGGGGTCCAGTGTTATTTCGGATGATACATTTAAAATTTTCCTGACAAAATAAATGCTCACATGAAGTGACTGTCTTCCAAGTTGTCATGGTGTTCGACATTAGATTCCTCTCCCTGGATAAACTGTAAATAAAATCAGCTAGAATTCCTGATAAAGCCACACAAGTTAGTGCACAGAGCCACCTTGTTCCGGCTTAAAACTGGAGAAGGTTAAAACTCAAGCACGTTTTAAACTGCAGAGAAACTTCAGATTCTTTTGACTTTACATCAGCAACAGCCATGAAGACACTTAAAAACTAAATGTTGTTTGAAGCCGTGACAGATGCCAACTAATATGTTTGTATCAGCAAAGAGTAGGCTAATGGGGAACGTATGATGAGTAATATTCATGCTAGCCTATTGCCTCCCAGGATAACATGTTTTTGGATAACAACCAATATCTAACCAGAATTTTAGCCATTTGTCTGGCAAAATGAATTGTTTTACTTCTTATGGGACCCATTAATTAGCTGAGAAAAAGTCGGCTCCTAAGACTCATGCCTAGTAGTACTTGTGAAAAAAACTACAGGGGTAAACCTAAAAAATATATATATATTATATATATATATATTAGATATATACTGTATTAGTATTCATCATTATAGATCACCCAGACTTTCCACCAAGGGATTCCCCCCCAAGACATCTGTCACAATTTGAACACTGGACTGGAAGAAAAGCACCATGCTTACTTACTACAGGAGTCTCACTGTGTTTGTTGAGAAAAGTATGTTGCGAGGTCTTGTTTGTGTGCCTGTACATTCCTGTACATTCTATTACAAAGGTTTGGATTGCAACTGTTTAACAAACGGGAGAAGAGACGATGAAAGGAGCTACAGAGGTGCTGCCATCGCCGCTTTGAGAATGATTAGTCTTTCTTTGCTGTCTGGGACTGTTTGGGGCACTTTAGCATTCGTGCTACAAGTGTTGTGTGTGAATGGGGGCGTTTGTGTGAATCAAGGCATTCGCATGATCCAGCAAACCAGGCTGATTATTAAATCAAGTGTTCTCTAATGTGTTTTTAATATATCTAGAAATATAATTAAAGTGAATAATTCTGTCTCTATTGTGCAGCCCTAGCATCTTGTGCGCTTTTAAACCTAGCTACATTTCTTCTTGGAGATTAGGTGCCCCGCTTGGAGTTTTGGAAAATATCTACCCTTCATCATGATTTTAGCTGATCATTTCACAGGAGGACACATGCAGTACTCACGCTGCCATGTTGACATGTGGGACAGTGTTTGGCAGAGTGCAGCTAGCAAGTTAGACAAGTTGTGAACTGCACACTTCTTGAAGATCCACAATAACTGCAGGTCTTTCTTACTATTTATAGTGTTAAAGGGGAATTCCAGTGATTTTTTTTCAAAACATCTGCATAATTAAATTGATAAAATGTAAACAAAGTCATTGAGATCATAGTTTGATTTGAAACATGCATTGTAGAAACTAGCAGAGTCAAAGGTGTTCATACTGGTGCTGATAGGAACCAGATGTATGAAGCATTTAATGTGTCTAAATGAAAGTTGATGCATGAAGTGGTTTAAAATACTGAGACATTGAATTGCTGTTGTTTGGAGTCAGGGTGGGCGACAGGTGTGGAGATTTTGGATAGTAGATAAAATGGCTATATTTGTACTGTAGACATTGAATCCCCTGGTTTCTGTCACCACCACTGTAAAGAAATCTGAGTTTCTCTACAGTGAATCATTTCACATCTACTCAGGATTACTTTGTTTACATCTCAAAAATTAAATTCTGCAAAACAATAAATAACTAAAAATAAAAATGGGTGAAATTCCCCCTTAAAGACGAATAACTGGTGAAAATGTTATGTGAGTTTGTCACACTGACATAAAGAAGTGTTTGCCAGCTCTAGTCTCGTAGTTCATCTGCGCTGTGTCCCTGTCCCCCGCAACTTCCTCCAGCTCGTTCCGGGGGACCCCGAGCCGCTATCAGGCCAACTTGGAGATATAATCCCTACTGGGGCTGGTTAACACCCCCAGGAGGCATCCAGGGGGCATTCTGATTAGATGCCCGAACCACCTCAACTGGCTCCTCTCAATGTGGAGGAGTAGCGGCTCTACTCTGAGCTCCTCCTGGGTGACCGAGCTCCACACCCTATCAAGTAGAGTGTAGCCCACCAACCTGTGAAGAAAGCTCATTTCCGCTGCTTGAATTCGCGATCTCATTCTTTCGATCATTACCCACAGCTCACGACCATAGGTGAAGGTCGAGATGTAGACTGACCGGTAAACAGAGAGCTTTGCCTTATGACTCAGCTCCTTCGTCACCACTACAGTCCAGCACAGTGACTGTACCGGCTCGGTCACTGCCAATTTTTTTTTTTAATTAATGAGTTTTAGAAGCATTTGAATTTCAGTGAAACTTGATGCAAAGTGCATTGATCTGAAGTCTGTAAGCATTAAGACGTTCTCGTCTAGAACAGCTTGTTCATTTCCCTGCTCAGAAACGATTCCACTGATTAGATTCCGCTGAGGGCCTTCCAGACTTAATGCTACAGATTATTGCAAATGCATAAAAATGCCAAAGTTCTAGTTTTATCATGATGTTCTTTGTTAATTCCTCTTTGGACTTCAAGTCAACCTGTCTTCCCAAACTGCATCTTTGCCTTTTGACCTCAACAGTGCTAACTTTGACCCTGACCCTATCCCTCTGTTCTCGCTCTGCAGGTGATGTGTCTCCTATCAGCATGTCTCCTATCAGTCAGTCCCAGTTCATCCCGCTGGGGGAGATCCTGTGCCTGGCCATCTCGGCTATGAACTCTGCCCGAAAGACCGTCACACAGGAGACGCTCATCGAGCATCTGGCAACATGCTTCCCAGGTACTGTACTGTTTCCATCGTGTGAAGATACTGCTCTTTGAGATCTAAACACCATTGATTAAAATATCTATTTACCATTGTTGCTTTTGAATTAGAGCAAAGATCTAAAGCTACACTGTCGTTTTTGGGCTTTGATATTTGGATTATGTAGCTAACATGTAAAGGAATCTTGTCTAAATAACTGTGTTGTAACACTTGCCACACTTGAGTTATTAAATTGATAATGTAGATGAATGTGGTTTTGACACTGTTTGATATACTGCTATCCGGAAAAAGTATGTTGCATAGCTAAAAAGTAGCAGCCTTCCTTCACCAGGGTATATTTTCGTTTTTCCATCTGAATTTACGTGACCAAAACATAAGGCAGATTATTCAGTAACTGCATGAAATAAATGTAGTTTTTATTTATTTATTTATTTTTTTGTAAAAGCTCCCCTCAAATTAACAGAATGTGTTTTATGATCATATATGTATGGCTATATGCTTACAATTTACTGCTGAAAGCCAAAAATAATTTTTACAGAGCAGATCACTGAAGAGACGCCATCTGTTTATAGTTTATAGCCCAGATTTGTGGAGACAAAAAATTGTGAGTTCAGCTTCTTTTATTATAAGAGTTTAAAATTACATCACCCATCTATTTGACTGGCAAGAAGACAGTTACAGCTCTCATATGACACCCACCTTTTGAATGTAGCTTATGAAATATGAAAGTTATGAAGAATATGACAAAGTGCGTTTTGGAACCACCGGTGGTCCCAAAGAGTTGAAAAGGTTAATCGTGAGGTTTTTTTTAACTATATTAGTCTTTGCTTTTTGGATTGTCAGTTTAATCAGAGTACCTGCACAGTGGTGAGATGGTTAGCATTTGTAGTCTCTTTGCTCTGGATTTATAGCTTAGACTTGGATAATCTATGTTTACGATGGTAGCCTGCATGTGATTATGAGTAGATGCTGTGATAACCGTGATCCTTTGGGTTTTTGTGGGGGCAGATATTTATTTACACTGATTTATCTCTATTTAGTTTCCTGTTTCCTCTCTCCTGCACTAAATTGTGAAGTATATTTAGAAATGCTGGGCATAATATATAACGCTTTAGTGATTTCAATGACCTCAGTTCTGCCGGCATTCCATAATTAGCCCATTTGCACAGCCATTTGGACTAAATAACAGCTGCTCTCAGCTGGGTCCACTGCATTTGCATTTAGGCATATAGATTTAAAGAAACAAATCACACTGTGGTTGTGGGAATGGTATGGAATTCTCCCCACTGCAGAACCATACCATAGCATGCTAAAAAAATATAATTACAGTATGTGGCCAAAAGTATGTGGACACACCTGTCCATCAACTTTATATAGCGTGCTGGACATCTCATTCCAAAACCATGGGCATTAATGTAGAATTGCCCCCCTCTTTGCAGCTACCACAAAGTTAGAAGCATATAATTGTCTAAAATGTCTTGGTATGCAGCATCATTAACATTTACCCTTCAATGAAATGAAGGGGCCAAGCCCAAACTCAGCCCTGACCATTATCCCTCCTCCACCAAACCTTACAGCTGGCACTATGCATTCCAGTAGGTCGTGTTCTCCTGGCGTCCACCAAACCCAGATTCATCCGTCAAACTGCCAGATAAAGAAGGCTGATTCATCAAACTAGGGAACGGTTCCACTGCTCCAGAGTGGTGTGTGCGTTATACCACTCCAGCCAACACTTGGCAGAGTGCATGGTTATCATAGGCTTGTGTACAGTTGCTCGGCCATGGAAACCCATTTCATGAAGCTCCCGACGCACGGCTCTTGTGCTGATGTTGCTTTCAGAAGCAGCTTGGGACTCTGTAGTCAGTGATGCGACAGAGAATAAGCAGTTTTTACACACTACATGCTTCAGCATTTGGTTGCCCTGCTTTGTGAGTTTACGTGGTCTACTGGTTACTGGCTGAGCTGTTGTTGCTCCTACACGCTTCTGTTTCACAGTAATAGCATTTACATTTGACAGGTCCAGATCTAGCAGGGCAGAAATTTCCTGAACTGACTTATGGCATCCAATGACAGTGCCACATTTAAAGTCACTGAGATCTTCAGTATGACCCGTTCTACTGCCAATATTTGTCTATGGAGACTGCGCGGCTGTGTGCTTGATTTGTAATTAGGAGAGGTGTCCACATACTTTTGACCATATAGTGTATAAAGGGGAAGAGTATGCTCAACCCAGCAAGAAAGCCTGTGTGTGAAAGAGTGGACATAATTAGATGATGAGCTAAATAAAGATGTGTTAAAGCAGAGTAAAAGACTGGAACTGCCTATTTCTGCTATATCACATTTGTTAGAAAGCCATAGTATTTCTTTCCTACTAACTGACCACATTAGCCACCACCAGAAGCCGTCCAGCAGAGAGATGAGTTTGAACATGTGTGAAGCAGATGTGTGAGCTTAATCATAAATTGAACAGGGATTAGCTGATCAGAGAAGGTTTAGTATGTTAACAGACTGACCGTTGGGACATCCATACTGTAGGGTGGGCAATATGGCAAAATGTAATATCATGCTACTTAAAGACATTTTCGTGATACACAACATGCATTAAAATATTTAGTTTGTCAAAATGCATGGGCAAAAAAGTGGTGCCACATTCAAAAGACAATGAAAAATGTCATAATGAGCCGACATCCAGTCAGCTGCTTTGTAGTTTATGCTGTTTTTAAGCAGGTTTTGTTGTTTCCAGGCTCTCTGTAATTGGTCCACCTGTCTTTTTATGATATATGCAGTTGTTCACTGTTCTGGAAATGCTGATTATACACTCTAAAAAGCATACCGTGGTGTAGTTTATCATGATAAAGATAATATATTATTATATTGCCCACCTGTTTTGATATTCCAGTTGCAGTCAACAGGAAGGCCATAGCCGCCAATGCTTAGTGCACCTTCTGCTGTAACACACCAGATTCAGTGGGTAAGGGATGGTAAATAGCTTATGAGTAAAACAGGTGTATTAGAGCAAGCAAAACTAAATTAGGGGTTACCATAGCAGCCCATTGGCAAAATCATGACCACCAGCATGATTTGGCCTCCAAAAATCTACTATATACACACTAGATATAAAATAAATTGCACTAAAAATGATCTCATGTACACCTGCTATATAATCAGTGCCGGATAGAATAAAAAAAATATTGAAAATATTAAAATATTTGCCTTGTTCTGTGCCAGGCATAAGAATGTATTTAATACATCATTCTATAGGTAGTGGATGGTCCCGAAATCTACACTTAATACATTTACAGCAGCAATTGTTCTTTGCTATTCGCACTAAGTGTACTTGCATACAAGACACATCAGCCTGACCCTGGTAAATAATGTTAAAATAAACAGACTTTTTAGGTCTCTTGTCGCAGGAAGTAAACAAAAAACAAGCGTAGGTGTGCAGGGGCGTCATTAAGATGTGTTTTCCTTCTACTGGACTGTGGAAAGCAACACAGTAGTTCTACTCCCATTACGTTCCTTAGATACCACAACTCCCCTAGTCTCTCCAGGCATAAGCATTATGGCACTGACACGCTGCAAAACATGTGAGGCGGATAACCTTAATTTAGTTAGCCAAACTAAACTGTTTCAGCAGCGCGAGCTAAAAGGAATTGAGGAATGTGCACTGAGGGACACTGGAGGCTTAGATAGACAACAACATGACAGTGAAGTGACATGAAGTTCTTAATATTCTGCCTCCTTTATTGTAGGCTCCAACAACAGATAACACAAGAAACATTGTAAATTATTGCATTCAGTATTATATGACCATTGTTTTTCGGCTGATTCCATTGTGGAAAAGACCTCTTTAAAACCCCTTAAACCCACAGGGCCAGTATGAGGGCCCAGTTCAATTTGCCTCATTTTCATAACTCCATAAGTTTTGCTTTAAGTGTTAAGATTCAAGGTTTAAGTGGTCAGGTATGTTAAAGTATACAGAAGGTAAAAATAAAAGCCAAGACATTAACTATAGTGTGAAAGTGCTTTGACACAAACTGGTATACAGTTGGAAAAAGTGTCTTCTTGCATTAACTATAATTTCAATGATAATTTCTCTTAAAAATGAATCATTTCTTTAGACTAGATTTTGGTCAATCACAGATATATCCTATTCACTAACATTTCCAAGTTGTCTTCAAAACTCAAAATACCTACTCATCATTCTTAGTACATCTCTCATTATAGTGTACTCTTTAAAGATAAGGTCAGATTAGAATTATTAGAATTACATTTTTCTACACTTATAACTTTGCTGGACAACTGATGAGATCATTGCTGTAAATGAATATGGTTCAACAATAGCAGGAAGTAGACATCCCTGTGGATGGTGGAAAGTGGAAAAACTTTGTAACGTCATTTCTTGGGAGGATAAAGTGCCTTTCTGACCTGCAGTGGACGAATCAACCCTCAATATTTTGACAAGCCATATATCCAGTCAAGTGACTGAGCCAGGAACGCACTTCATATGCTACAAAAAGTATATGATATATGTACAGATATATGTGTATCTGTAAGGCTGAATCTAACATAGGAATACATGGGAGATTTAAAGCTGATTGGCTTACTATGACTTGATCAAACTTGATTAGTTAGTGAATTATACCGTATTTAAATATATATATATATATATATATATATATATATATTAGCATTCACATACAGAGCAGTTGATATTCTGAACTGAAATGAGTGGATGTTATGCGTTCTGTTAAATTGGGTGATGTACTGTTTATAAGTTATTTCAGTAATTAGTTTGGATTGTGTATTTTAGCTGTACTTGATTAATGACATTATAATGATCCACTACTACTGTATTTGCTAGGCTTAGCCTTGATGCCTTATTGGTGCTATTCAGGTATGGAAAATTAAAAATAATCACTAAACCAACAACTGAAATTTCATAATAATCAGGAAGAAATGTCAAAAAGCTTTCTCAGATTGTCAGTGTATCAATGTATTTGTCTATCTGTGTATATCGTATTTAAGTACAATAGTGTTCAAAAGTGTGAAATTGCTGTTCAAAAGTTTGGAATCATAGTTTTCAGTCGTATAAAACTATATTGGTTTCAGATCAATGTAGAAAAGGATTCTAATATGTTGGTCCTGTACAGTTTCAAAAAGGATGATCACATTTTAAGGCAAATAATGTGACAAAATATTAAAGGAAATAGAGCATTAAATTGAGTTATAAATATTAAACGATAATTATGTATCATTTAATAACTTCTCTGTTCACAGAATTCTTGAAATATTTAATAGAACTACATCTAAAATACATGTGGGTGAATATTTTTGTAATATGTACATCTACATTGCATTTTATTGTTAATGTACATAAATGAAGAAAAACGAGTACAACAAAAAAATAGGAGGACAAGTGAATCCAAACTTTTGAATGGGGTATATATCTTATTTGAAGCTCTTGTGATAGCATTCAGCTATGTTAGTTTTGCAATTTACAATCAAGATAGCATACATTTTCTCAAGGTTTGCACAGATTGTTAATATCTTAAATAATGATGTGTGAATATATAGACTCTAGTCCTTAAATAAATTGTCGCTATTCCACTACAACCCAGTCCACCAAATGAATCTGTTCCATTACTCATCAGCATTGGACAAACTAGTGTAAACATTCCAAAGACTTCTTAGCAATCTCAGATAGGTCACCAATGGATCCATTCCCTGTCTATGGACAGATGAACCTAGCATTCAGCTATGTTAGTGTGAGTTTTTGAAGAATGTTGGGTTGGTATGCTCTGATCTGTAGGCAGGAAAGTATATCGGTAGTCAGAAAACTCTGTTCTGAGTCGGAAAATCCCTATAGCTCTTGGAAATGCGTCCTTGCAAACAGACCAGACATGCATTCTCTATTTCACTTTCACGTTCATTACATCAACATACTCCTTTGCGGCATTATTTGTAGTACAAAAAGAGGCACATTTGCTGGTGTCTCCCCTCTTGAACACATGCAGCTATGAATGGTGTGATGCTTGATGCGTTCTTCTGCAGTCTGGAGTGTTGCATCATGCTGCGCTGGCTGTAAGCGCCCCATGATGTAATAGAGGGTAAGAGCAGCGACGCTATGTGCATGAAGCAGAGCTTTAGACGAATGAACCAGACAGCCGGGGCAGACCCAGCAGTGCTGTGTCTGTATGCTGCGTTAAAACGCACCCATTTATCGTAAAGCTGAATAAGGTGGTGGTACAATAATGAATGGATAATGAACAACGTGTGAGCTCATATATATGCATACTGTAATAATTATGACTCAGGTCTTGCTTGCCTATATACACATATATATGTGTAATTTTAGTAGAAATGCAGATTTTGACCTGCTGTGCACTTGTGTGTGTTTGCTGCAGGCGTGCCCACTCCAAGCCTGGAGATCCTGCGGCACACCCTCAACATGCTTGTGCGGGAACGTAAGATCTACCCAACTCCAGAGGGTTATTTCATCGTCACCCCGCAGACCTACTTCATCACGCCCTCCCTCATTCGCACCAATAGCAAGTGGTACCACCTGGACGAGAGGATCCCGGCAGCCATGCAACAGCCATGTTCCTCTCCCCCCTCGGGCACCGTCACACCTTCCGCTTCAGGCTGCGTCAGGGAGCGGTCTCACCACAAGAACCACGCCGAGCCTTACAGCGACAACTACCGAGAGGACCTGCCCAGCACACACACCTCCACGTTACAGAGGAGGTCCAAGGAACACAAGGAGGTGCAATACCCAGTCTCTCCGCCTCCTCAGCAGCCCTCGGAGAAGAGCAAAAGCGCCCTGAGCTTTGCCTTCAAGACAGATGGCAGCAGCAAGCAGAAGGATGGAAGCAGTAGTACTGGAGGTAGTGAGAAGCAGTCAAAGAAGTTTGGCCTGAAACTCTTTAGGCTGAGCTTCAAAAAGGACAAGACGAAGCAGCTGGCCACCTTTTCAGCCCAATTCCCACCTGAGGAGTGGCCTCTGCGGGACGAGGAGACGCCCAGCGTTGTTCCACGGGATGTGGAGATGGAGATCATCCGGCGTATCAACCCGGACCTAACGGTAGAAAACTTGGCGCGGCACACGGCTGTCATGAAACGACTAGAGGAGGAGAAGGCACAGAGAAACAAAGCCAGCTCATCGGCTCAACAGAGCGCCCGCGGCAAGCGTGGTCGTGGCCACCGGAAGGCTCAGCAGGGCAAGCAGTCACGCAGTCACAGCAAGACGCGCGCATCCAGGGGGGACCCTTCTGAGGGTTCCAACCTGGATATATCCTATGAACGGGACTACAAGTTCTATAGCTCTTCTCTGGTGCGGTCGCCAAGGGAAACTATGATGTCCATGGAGCGGAACAGGGGGAAGTACATGGTGCATAGCAACCCGAACATTGTGGAGTCACATTTCACTACAGCGCCTGAGTGGGACGTATCGGGGGAGCTGGCAAAGAGGAGGACGGAGATGCCCTTCCCTGAACCATCCCGAGCGCAGTCACACTCAAAAGTCCACCGCAGCCACAGCCACACCCAGGAAAGGAAGTCACGGAATGAGAGGTCAGACAAGGCCAAAGAGAGGTCGCGCTCTATGGACAACTCCAAGGGCCCCTTGGGAGGCCCATACTTAGGCAATCCTGAGGAATTTGAGTGCAGTCCAGATGACAGAAGTCGGTATTACACCGACGACGGAACTTTGAGGGCGTCTGCCCAAAAGAGCCACTACTCCCGCACTATGCTCTCTGCTGCTAGGTTGAATTCTGATGTTTGCGTGCCTGATGTTGGGAGGGGGACCCCCGAGGATGTCATGCACTGTAGACCACTGGAGAAGAGCAAAAGCAAAGACAGCTTACCGGCTTATGGTGACCCTAAGTCCTGCTCTCCAAAAATGCCTGTGGACGACTATTTCCAGCGCAATGCATCAAACGAGGCCTCTTTTGCAGCTCCCTCCCCTCTCACAAAATCCAGCCACGATTTCGCAGACAGCGTCTGGAAGGGGATTCCCTCGGATCGGCCGACTCCACTTCTGACCTCACCCCATCCCACGGAATACAAGGACGATTCCATAATGGGACAGAATAGTTTAACGTTATCGGTGCCTAACCAGACACCAGAGCCTTTGCCCAATGGACGCTTGATGCACCAACTTAATCCCGACTCAGGTGACTTGGACAAAATGGCGGAGGTTTACGGCCAGGAGACTTTGTTCAAACCTCCAGACTTTGTGGAGAGCAGCTTTTCCAGGCCAGGTACGATGCGCAAGTCTCCGCACACCAAGTCAGCAGAGGTGCTGGAGAGCCAGGAACACTTTGATGAGCCTCTCCCACTATCCTCCATGCCATCATCCTCGGGTCAGGAGCAGGCATCTTGTGCTGAAACCACCTTTGACTACTACAACGTGTCCGATGATGACTCAGAAGGGACCAGCCATAAGAACAAGGTGGAGGAAAAAGTTTTGGAAGGCGGTGGGACGATGCAGTGGCTGCTGGAGCGGGAGAAGGAGCGAGACCTCCAGCGCAAGTTTGAAAAGAACCTCACTTTCCTTAGCCCCAAAGAGGGCGAGAGCAACAACAGCCAGAAGTCGGCCCACTCCACACGCCTGGACAGCATGGACTCCAGCAGTGTGACTGTGGACAGTGGATTTAATTCCCCACGGTAAGGCACTCAGGTCCAGTATTGGGTTTGCTCCTCTCGTTGGGATGCCAGTGTAGTTCTCCTGCTTGAACTTGAGCGGTTTGCTATTCTGTGAATAGACAAAGTGTCAGTGTACTTCAGCACATTTTTTTACTCACTTAAACACGTGACATAGGATTCTATAGAATCTCAGTACAGTTGCAGAATGTACGAACCTATTGATGTTTTTTCAGTGGTAACAACCTCTGTGAATGAGATTAATACTACTGTATAATGAATTGTGTCTTCACTAAAATAGCAGGGGCCTAGGCATTTATAAATAATAAAAACCACCTATAAATGATATTACAGGTCAGCCACTACCAGTTTTGTTTTAAAAGTGTTTACATATTTTTTTAACTGAATAATTGTTTATGTTGTTGGTGGTGTTTCTTATTTTGTTGTTGTTGTTGTTTTTTTTTAATAGTGTACCTTTGACCATTGTTGTCCAAGTGTATATCAAGTGTTACTCATATTGCTTTGCGTGCTGTTTGGTTGCATGGTGTGCTCCTCACAAAATTTTAGCGTCAGTAAACTGTATTTTGGCATTTCTCAAGATTTGTCATAGGCATAAACAGAAGTACTGCTGTGACCGAGAACATTTACTTTCAAGTTCTAATTGCTCATGCGTAGGCTTCCCATGTCCTAAAGCACACGCAGTCTGTTACAATTTAAACTTGATGCCTTGAGCACACGATGCAACTCTGAGTTTGTCACCTTTATGCCCCGGTTGTGTTTCTGCCCTCCAGTCCTGGTGTTGCACCCTTTCATTTGGGCTCCTACCTCCCCAATGTCTGAAAGCTCTCATACAACAGACTGCAAGAAGGCCTCTAGATGTTCCCATATTACAGTGCAATGATTCAATGTTAGCCAAAATCTAGTCCTGAACCCTCGTCAAAACTTGTTCTAAAACGTGTTCAGTGTAGTTTTATTCATATATTGTACCCACATTACTCTGTAGCGGAGACATCACAGTGGTATTTAGCTCTGGTTGTAGAGGGCTAGTGTCCAGCAAAGGTTGGTGATTTCCCTCCTCCAACACACCTACTGACCCACCATTCTTCATCATGTTACTTAACATGACAATATATTATGTTAATGGGTAAATACAGTGGTGTGATCATATGGAAGGCAAAACTTAAGGACATAAATAAATATTATACTTTACTTAAATCAGTGTTTTAATGTTGAATTTATATATGAACTGTTAATGTGGAAGCAGATGTACATCTGAGCATGGCAAGGGCTTTATGGCAGTATAACTTGTATTTAGTAATATATGAGATGGAACTTCAGTGACTTTATGGACATGTAAAAAAAAAAGCCTGCATTCCTAAAAATATATGTTTTTGAAACGTATCTTTTCCACCTGCAATAAAAATAATTACATTATGTTATTAATGAGCTGTGAATTCATGTATTAAGCTTGAAAACCATGTATTAGTGGATATATGTTTATAATGCAAGGCATTGAATGTTGTGGACTCAATTGGCACTCTTTTCATGGACGAACCCAATAGCGACCCACAATATTATTGCATCAGTCAATAATAGTAACCACTAATGTGCCAATAATTACAACTTTTGTTTTTTTGGTCCCTAAAAACAAAAAGCGGTTAAAAATGCGATTTCTCAAGGATCAGGCAAAACTTTGGACAGTTATGCCACTAGACAGCTCAGTATAACCGTTTTCTGTTTGGTTATAAGCCTTAGCGTGAGAATACCATGTTATTCCAAAAACTATAATGAAGTAAACTAATAACTAAAAATAAGAACAATAAAAAGTGATAAAAGGAAAACGAAGAACTCTACGTAGCTCCGCCCCCCACTACATATTAATTAAGATTGTAAGTTTCTGTTGTTTGAGTTTAGGAAGTGTGAAAATTTAAAACTGACAATCTGTTGAAGAATAAAATCTTAAAATACAAATTACATCAGAACATTGGAATTTTTTGTCCCCAAAAATTGACATCATTATCAGCCACAAAATGTTCATATCCGTTGTGCCCTGATTAATGGATGAGTTGAGTCAAGTGTGTTTGAGCTTGGAAATCACCAAACTGTGGCCCTCCAGGACCAAATTAAATACCTTGGTATTTAAAGCACGCATTTTAAGAATTTGAAGCTGTCATGCTATCAGTCTTAATAAATCCACGCTAAAATGGATCTCTATACATGTACTTTTTGAAAACTGAGCAACTGAAGTCAGTAACTCAGCACTGCTGTTGACGTGGGAACTCCAGTGAAGGGAAGGCCTGGCTGTATTAGCACTGCCTTGAGGCTCACTGTAAAACTGCAGGCATCACCGAATGAGACATTTCACACATTCAAGGAAACTAAAATGTGTCTTGTGTGTTTTTTTGTTCTTAATTATGTGAATTGTTTTTTGAGTTTTTTTTGCAAATTAAACTATGCTGTTTTTTTCATACGGCATTTTGTTTGCAGTATTTACCCCCGCTTCAGTGTGTTTGTATGTGTGTTTTGGTGTGAGATTTTAGAGTTGTTCACCATGCATCCATCCTCCCTTCTCTCTGTGCCCTGGTGGTAGGATGAAGAAAGAAAAGAGAATTCGAGTTAATCTCTAATTTTGTTTTATTTGGCTAAAGCTCACCTATGTGTAGAGCAAATAACTCCTAATCTATCCCCAAAGCCATCTTACACAATCCTCGCCAAGAGCAGGAAATCAAGAGGAGCGCTGCATTCACTTACTTGCTCCTTATTACGAAGTTATGAAATGCTCCTGCTGCATTATAGTCCCACATGTTTTTCCCATCCAAATAAACAGGCACCAAACCATGGAAAAAGAAAGCATCTTAGCGTCCGTCACTCACTCAGGATATGCATTCGAGTATGAAGGACAATTAAAATTACTAAGGCTTCAAACCTCAAAGTCATGAAACTTTCCAACCATTTTATGGGGATGTATCCAGAGGTTTGTCGCAAGAGTTGAATTCCAAAGCCATAAATCAAACCCCAATGTTACTGAAATTTGTAGATTTCATGCTCAGTTCAAACCAAGTGGATTTACCAGTTGGAGGTGAGTCTACTAAGGCACAGTTCTCACCCTGTCCCTATGCCTCAATGTTGTGTCTCTTGCAATGGGTCTAGTACTTGTTTTTTTTTATATTTTACCTGATTTCTCCCTGCTGTGTTCAACTGCACCTTTGTTCCATTCTGTGTTTTCCTGTAGTGGCCCTCTGTTCTCTGTTTCATATTATTTTGTGGAAGTTTAAATTAGCTGTAAAGAACAACTTGAGCAAACACCAAAGATCTGTTTTGGTCCCTCTTGCCTTAGAGGAGTCCTCGTAAGGTTTGTTACTGTACAACAGTATCTCTAAGGAATGGTGTGGCAAAAAATCAAGTTTACACAATTTTCCCTTCACTGCAAATGCAGTCAGTTACATCAAACATGTTTGGTGTCTTTTAGTTTTGCTCTGGAGCTACAAGGCTAATGTCGTGAGGTGACTGTACGAAAAGTAGCATCCCAAACTTTTAAAGTATGTTTGAGATGGTAAAGCCTATAAACCACATGTGTCAGGCTCCAGTCCTTGTGGGCCAAAACACTGCAGACTTCAGCTCACTGCCTCATTAAACACACCTGATTCAGCTCATCAGCTTATTAGCAAGGCCTTCATGAACTGAATTCAGTGTGTTAGATGAGTGCAAACACTAATCTCTGCAGCTCTGCAGTTTGACATGCCTGCTAGAAACTGTAGGTCGGTAACAGGGTTTGCACCTTAAACCAGCAATGATTCCATGTATTAAAAGCCATGTGAAAACTGTAGATTTTCACCTTTGAACAAACCTGAATGATGGCAATGTAGAGCAGTGTTTCTCAACCCTGTTCCTGGAGGCCCACTGCCCTGCACTTTTTACTGTTTTCCCTGCCCCCAGCACACCTGATCCAACTCTTTAACATTTCACAACTCTTTAACAGCCCGTTATTGGTTAAAGTGGGTGTGTTAAAGCAGGAAAAGCATGAAAGTGTGCAGAGCAGTGAATTAATATTTATCTTCAATCTGATTTTTTTTTTTTTTTAATTGCAAATGTGAGTGAAACTGTCCTACTAAACAGCCCTTATGTGCTCTCCAGTTCCGTTATACCTGCCCTCTTTTTTGATTGGTTATCTCGTCCAAAGGGACGCATGGCAAGCAGAGCTTATCCGCTGAAGTTGAACATTATAGAAGAAAAGTTCCACAAATCATTTAAAAAAAAATTAATTAAAAAAAGCTCAACCTGCGGTGGAAAGAGTGTAGGATATGATTTTGAGTGGAATACACTCAGTCTTCTGAATGCATTCATAAAAAATAAGATCTTCAAAAAAGGTGTTTTTTAAAAATATAGATAGTTTTAACTGTTAAACTGTTGTCCTAATATAAGGGATTCAGATTGTCCCATTTTAGTAGAATGACCTAACTGCATGTCTTGGCTAGTTGGTGACATTTTGGGTAAGAAGAAAATTGTGTGAATCAGATTTTTCGACTAACTCTTCCTGCTCTCCATCATAAGTTTGTAATACAGGCCACGGTTCCTCACACAGATCACCAGTTATGTAAGTATCTAAATGAATGTGAGGAAACATGGCCAGATATAATGTAATAGTAGTGCCTTTCTGCCTCACTTCTTGCCTAGATTATTCATCACTGTCTGTCAGCTCTCTATTGCTGTTTAACCTCTCTCATCTTTCCTCTGTCATAACACCTTATCTTTCTTCCTTTCCCCTTCTCTCTCTCCGGCCCCTAGCACTCGGGAGAGCCTCGCCTCGAACACCTCGAGTAACGTAGAGAACAGCCGGCGGCAGAACATGGCTCTCAGTCCTGGTCACATTGGCACCAAGAGGCCGCCGCCACCTTACCAGCCGCCCAGCTTCCGCTCCATCCCCGAGCCGCCCACCGCCCGCCCTGAGAAACAAGCCTCCATCACCAGCGTGTAGGGAGCAGAGGGAGAGGAGAAGGCCTTCTCTTAAAGCGATAGTTTAGCAAAAAATCTAATTCGCACAACTTTCTCCTTACCTTAGATGTAGTCAATTAGCAGTGACATGTTTGACACAATTTGCATTTTGTCTTAAGTTTGCTTCTTTAGTTTTACACCAGAGCTATGAAGCTAATATAGGTGGATGATGGAAGCTTATCACCACCAATTTGTATTGTGACTTATGGACACTATGTGATAGATAGGTATCTATAAAATGGAAAAATGTAGGCTTCACAATGGCTACTGTTTTTTTTAGCTATGAGACATACTTTTGTCCACATACTTCTGACCAAACGCCATAAACAAGTCTATTTGACTTAACAAAGAATGCAGTATGTGTTGATTTAGACCACATGTGTCAGGCTCCAGTCCTTGTGGGCCAAAACTCTGCAGATTTCAGCACACTACCTCATTAAACACACCTGATTTAGCTCATTAGCTAAATAGCAAGGCCTTCATGAACTGAATTCAGGGCGTTAGATGAGTGTAAACGCTGATCTCCACAGCAGTTTGGCCCAGAAGGTCCCCAGTTTGACATGCCTGATTCAGACAATGCTAACTGGTAGCTATAAACGTGATTATTAGAGCTAGGCCTTCAATAAATGCGAAAAACTCAGTCTAAACATGACGGCAAAGCCCGCTGGGATTCTAGCAGTTTGTTAGTGCTAAGCTAAGAGTGATTCACAAGGAGCATTTTTTGAACGTTCTAGATTAAACACAGTCATTTAAAGGTTCTAAAATACATTGTATGTTTTACTTGAAGCTTGTGACAGACATATTAGCTTATATTTTATCTGGTATCAGTTTCACAGTGATTCTTCTAGTAGAGAGGCCTGGCATAGAGATGCCAACCTACTGATTAGCCTGCTACTCATATTCACAAGCCATGTGATCAAAACATGATCATGTGATTCCTCCGTCACTTCGCAATTATGCTGAGTTAATCCAATGCGCTAGGCCTTCCCTTCAACTCTTGACGTCCTGACCAATAGAAGAACTCGCTTAGCTACATCTGCCTAGATAACAATTCCCAATTGGCCAGTTTAGTGCTTGGCAATTCAAGAATTCAATCCTTTTGCTTCCATCCAAAAATTACAATGAAACAAGTGTAGTACTGTAATACTTGCAGAGCATACAAACAAGCATGATTCTGTTAAATGAAAAATTGATTAAAAATTACAGATTTTTAGATGCATGTTTAGCTAACAGAAATCATTAGGCCTTCTCAGAAGGCCTCGAGGGTTGCCCTCTTCTATAAATGTCCATGACTTGTTGGCTACATTAGCTCTGTAGCTCCAGCGCAAAACTAAAGAAGCAAACGTTCAATATTTTAATCGATCGCATTTGGGTTAAGAGGAATATTGTGTGATGTTTTTTGGCCAAACTATTGCTTTCTTGGTATAGCAGTGCGGCTGCTGTAATCCTTATAGACAGGACGCTCTAAAGCAGTGCAGACTCGAATCAGAAACGTCTCAAAAACGTTGTTCGTCACTGATTACTATAGGTACCTTCTACTTTTTGGTATTTGTAACGAACACAAGTGAAGACACGTTTATCGCTTCATAGTGGCCGGACATCATCCATGGTACAAAACTTCTGTCATGATCCGAATGGGGAACCCCGCTCTAGGTGTCCTTTAAAGAAAGCCTAATGTATCCAGTACGGGTCTCCTTAACCTTGCTAATTTTGCCTCTGACAACTCATTCTCTGCTGTGTTCAGTGTTGGTTCTCTACTCTCAGGTCAATCCGAGTTACACGGCATTGTAATGCTCACTCTTCGGCCCATGGAGATGGATTTTCAACAGCTTTCTCATGTTTGCAGTCCCCCTTTTTCACGGGTACCTTAAATCGACCAAGTCTCCTAGTGTCCCTCGCAATCAAAATGATGGGAACACTTCCGTCCTGATAAGAACGAGCTGTTTTAGCACATCCGCTTTACTCTTGCCATCCTTACTAAAAGCCTCTATGCTGGGGAAAGTCATCGCCACAAATGGAGAATATTGCAGTGATTTTTTTCCAATATGTTTCATTTTTAAACAAGAAGAATTAATGTACATGTAACTGTGTTAACACAGTCACAGTCCATGCTAATGTTAACAGAAATGTAAAGGCAGCATCAGAAATTTGATACAACAGGTGCTATTATTCTCTCTCCTAAACACAGACTGCATTTTTTTTCTCACAGGGACAAAAAAATAATAAAGGATGTTCCGATACATTTTTTCCCCAATTTTATATTTTAACCAGGTGCTCTCGAATACTGGACAAGATGACAGAAAATACACGCTACTACCTCCACCATTTGTACAGTAGTTAAAGGTGACGCGAGTGGTATTTTTCTTTTTTGTTTATGCAAGTCAGTCAAACACACTGTAATCAGCTTGCAGACTGTGAATGTGCTGCGGACGCTTTCTTCGCTGAGGTAGATGGTGAAGGTGCTGTCTTTATCCATCCTGTTAAACTGCTCAAAATTTCTTTTTGTTCTCACAGCGATCAGTAGAAGTGTACTTCAGAGAATACAGTGGCTGTGGACTCATGAACACCTGAATTAGGTTTCCAAAGCCATGTTTTTATTTGACTTTTTTATTATTCATTAAAGGGGAATTCCCTCAATTTTTCTAAATGTCTGCATAAGTAAATGGCTAAGATGAATGCAAAGTTATTCAGAGTGGTTTGATGTGAAATGCTCTGTTCTAGACAAACTTGCCAAGTCAGAATTGTTCACAGTGGTGGTGATAGGAACCAGACATCCACCTCTAAAAGCTTCTACGCAGAAATGTGTAACATGTTGGCCTAAAACATACAGTATATGGCAAAAGGTATGTGGACACCGGACATTTACATAGACTTGTTGTACATTTCAGCACAGTCATGCTGGAACAGGAATGGTCCTTCCCCAAACTGTTGCCACAAAGTTGGAAGCATAAAATCGTCTAAAATGTCTTTGTATGCAGTAGCGTTAACTTGTACCCTTCACTGAAACTAAGGGGCCCAAACCCTAAAAAACCCAGACCATTATCCCTCCTTGTTTGCACTATGTATTCCAGTGGGTTAGTGTTCTCCTGGCATCCTGCAAACCCAGATTCGTCCATCAGACTGCCAGGTAGTGAACCAGAGTGCACTGGCGATCTTAGGCATTATGCATAGTGATGTTTGTGTGCTGCTGCTCAGCCATGGAAACCCATTTTATGAAGCTCCTGATCCACATTTTCTGTGCTGATGTTGCTTCCAGAGGTAGTCTGGAACTCTGTAGTGAGTGATGCAGCAGAGGATGGGTGATTTTTACACACTATGTACTTCAACACTCATTTCACAATAATAGCACTTACAGTTGACAGGGGCAGATTTCATACACTGACTTATGGCAAAGATGGCATCCTATGACAGTTTAAAGTTTAACGTCACCGAGCTCATCAGTATAACACATTCTGCTGCCAATATTTGTCCATGGAGATTGCATGTGCTTGGTTGTATCCACAATGTTAGCAATGGGTGTGGCTGAAACACCTGAACTCAATAATATCTGGTAGAGAGGTACTTGCAGGGCGTTATAAGGCAAAGTAGTCCCCAAAAGTAGTTTATTTTTTTTTGATTTACCACTGTTTTGTCATTATGAACATTACATATAAAAACTTTGAAGACGTGGTGCTTTCGAGTGGTAAATAAAGTGGCTGTATTTGCACTGTAGACATCACAACCCCTGGTTACTTTGTCCTCCACTGTAAAGAAATACGAGTTGACAGTTTCATCTAGAACAGAGCATTTCACATCAAACCACTTTAAATGACTTGTTTACATCTCAACAGCTGAATTATGCAGGAATTTAAGTATTCCTCTTCAATTGTACAAATCCCTGAAGCACTGGAGTTTGATACGTCAGCATCAGTAAACCCTATGTGGGCCTAAAGGAGTAGGCCTGTAGGTTTTCTATTTGTAGGTTTCCCTTCTCTATTTATTTCGCTCCAGCACATTCACCATGTATTGCAGAGGGATGGAGTCCTACAATTGCATTCTGCTTCCTAATGCATCATCAGGAGGAGCGCAAGATATGACTTTTTTTGGAGACAAACTAGAGAACTGCAGGCAAGGCTGCCTTGATTTCAAATGTTTGCACTAAATGCCTGATCTATAATGGCTGTAAACGAAAACAAGACAAACAGACAAACGTGTACGAATCATCCAAACGGATGTTGTGTTTATATTGAACATATTTCATTTGAAATGCGGATAGTCCATAAAATGTCTTCCCTTATCATGATGGGTTTCTTATAGTTCTCAATGACGTCGTTCCTCATTGTGACATTACGTCGATCTGTAAGAGATGTTTATCTGTCATACTGAGTATAATAACTTAAAAGGGGGATTTTTTGTAAAGTCTGTAATATTTAAAAGTCCCTACTTGTGTAGTCGTGATGTTCAATGTTTAGTGTATATGATTTCCCCTCCCCTTGGGGATCGTGTAACTTTTTAAGACAATAAAATAACATGACACCTTTGATTACATGGTGTGGTATGTGTGTACACCAGAGAACTGTTGTTTTGGACTGAGGCCCCCAGGCACACCTACAGTACATGTGACGAAACAGCAGGTCCCTACACAATATGTAATGAATATAAATACATTTTTAATCTTTGTTTACTGATGTGAATCATTTTGTAAATCCAGATTGCCTTGGAATCGTCTTAGATCATCATTTGTAAAGGTTATTCATGCACTCTCACCTGATAGGGTTTCTGAAGTTGGAGGGGTGGGGTATTTTGGCCCTTAGTTTGTCTGAAATTGAATCATATATAGTCATAAGGATATTTAAAATGAACAGAAAACTTTTAAAATAAATACATTTAATTAATTACATTACATTTAACCTGTCCAGGGTGTATCCTGCCTTCCGCCCAATGACAGCTGGGATAGGCTTCAGCACCCCACCGGATAAGCACCCAGAAGGATAAGCGGTTTAGATGATGTATGTATGTATGTATGTATGTATGTATGTACATTACATTTAATAAAATATAACTAACAGTAACCAATTGATTGGGCACACGTCATATACATACATAGAATGTGTCTTGTAATACCATCGTTCACCACTAGACGCTAGTCTGCTTTACGATTGTATAAGCAGTCAAACCATACTGTGGAGCGCGCCCCCCCTCGTGGGGCGCTGAGGAATTGCAGGGGGTGTGGGTGAAGGCCCAGAGAGGAAAAAAGTGAAAATATATAAAAATAAACAAAAAACTATCATAAGATAAAGAATTTTGATAAGCAATTTCCTTTTTCCCCACAAAATGGGGAGAAAAAGTTCTCAAAAAAGCTGTGAAGAGAGGCCACATGGGA